GGATCGAGCCTTAGTTTATACTATTGTATTCGAAGATCTTTACAACTTCGATAAGTAAATAAACGACGTCGAAGTTATTATCGGCGGAATCATTAACTACGCTGATTTCTTTATTATTAATAATAGCAGTCACGAGGTTATTTTAAGTATGCTTTTTTTCTTGGAATCTTAACTCTCTTTCTTTTACCTCGATAATAGCACGATAAAAGCTTTTTTTTAAAACTACGATCGATCTATTTAAAGATAGATTATTATTATAAAAGACAAGTCGGATTTAGTCGAAGACTCGGGAAACTAATAGCTAATATGCAAGCTAAGATAGATGCTAAGTTAGAAAGAAGCTTAAAAAGAAATTCCGCCCGTGAACTATAGTTTACGAGTAGATCGGCATAAAAACAACAAAATTATAAAAAAACAATTCAACTTAATATTAAGCAAAGCTTATTAAAATCAAAAACATTAAAAATATTTATAATTAAATTCGATAAATCGGAAAATTTCATGTTTATTATCGATAACGACAAAGACCTTTTAAGAAAGAATGTAATAAAAGTTAATACGATATACAAAAAGAAAGCGAAGAAGGTCAAACCGGTGGATTTAAAAGTATCGAATAGAAAAATACTTAAAGGAATCGACGATTAGTTTAAGTAAAATAAAAAAGCGAGACTCTTTAGACTTAAAAGACCTTTTTCGGAATACTTTATTAGCAGGTTTTTAAACTTAAAAGTTAAATTAAGATTAACGAAAGAACGATTTAAAGCACTTACGATTAGCTTTTAAGTCATTTCGAAAAAAAAAGAGCTGCTTTACTAATGCTTTTTAAATCGAAAAGAAGCGATAGCTTAAGATTTTATTTATTTTGGCTAGGTCCGGAAAGAAGTTATGCTATTTTAAAAGATTAAAACAATGCTTTACGAAGCTTAGCAAAAGAAAACGTTTACCGTGCCGAAAGCTTTGTAAGAAATGGTTATTTTTATATTAAAAGAACGATTAAAGCAAAAAGTCTTCGAATTATGCTAAAGCTTTTATCGAAATAAGTGGTTTATTATAGCAAAGAAAAAGAAAGGAAAATATAAGCTAATTACTGCTGTAATTAAAATAAACCGTGTAACGGTTAAGGACGCTAATGTTGCTTCGAACGTAAACTAGTTCTCGAACGAATTTGCTAGTCTTACGATAGTTATACTCTTAGACTTCTTTTTTAAATATAATCAATTCTTTTTCGACGTTAAGTTTAAAGACATAACAGCTATTTAAACGCTTATCGGATTGCTTCGAATAACTCGGATACTTATAAAAGCAACTAATTCGATTATCCAATTCGTTAAAGTCATTTATAAGATCTTTATAAATTGCATTCTTAACGTTTGCTTGCTTTATATAAATGACGTAAGAATCAAAAGATCTCGATCTTTTTATAATTACGAAAAAGTTTTGCTCGGAATACGACGATTCGTTTTAAAACACATTTAAAACATCGATAAAGTGCTCGTAAAGTTTAAAAAAGCTAAGACGACCGTCGGAACGAAGTCTTAATATTGCATGCTTAGCTTTAACATCGTTAAATTCGTCACGGATAGCGAAAGACGCTACTTTTAAACCGTTAAAATTAAAAAGATATTAGAATAAATTAAATGCGAAGATATATCGAAAGCGCGAGCTTTTATTAAGATCGTAGTTTATTATAAAATCTAGATCAAAAACTTCTTTACGATTGCTGTTTTAATTTACGCGACTATAAGAAAAGGAGTCGAATTCGAGTAGTTAAAGCTTTAGCAAGAAGCGATAAAGCTGCTCAAGGAAGCTTTGCTCTTTGCTTTCGCTTTTATTAAGATCGATTATAGCAAAGACAAAGAGAAAATTTACTTAACGGTAAACGTTAGTCTTAAAAGATAGAAAGCAGTATTATAGCAAAAAGATTCCGATAAAAAGCGATATCTTATTAAGTTCGAAAGTAGTCTTTAGAACTTTGCGGAAAGCAAATACGACGCGATTAAGCGAGAATGCCGCGGTGCTTTAAAAGTTATAAAAAAGATAAAGAGCGAATTATATAAAGTTCGCTTTATCTTAGAAACCGACGCTAAAGTATTAATTGATTAACTTAACGGATCAGCAAGCGACTTGCTTAAAGCTTTCGTTACGAATTAAATTGCGTAAATAAGATTGATAGACTTTAAAGTTAAGCATATCCTTAAGACTAAAAACATAGCAGCGGACGGTCTTTTTAAGAAAGGAAGGGAGCATCTTTTAAATATTAAAGAAAGAAAGGAAGAAGATATTAACGATTAAGTCATTAACGAGCTAAGCATTGTTTTAATATTCTCGGTTAAACGATTCGTAAACTATAGTTTACGAGCTAAAAAAAGAGTTTTGAAGTACGATTACTCGCTCGATTTTAAGCTTATTGCTTAATTCTTTACTATTTTTAAACGCTCTCTTTCGATCAAAACTTACGACTTTTAGAAATTCAAGAACAAAGCACTCAACTACTTGGTTAAAGATAGTCACCTTTATAAGCGAGCAGACAATTCTTACTCGATTAAGCTAGTTATCGACGGAACTTAAAGACGCTATATTGCTATTTCCGATTCTTATCGAGAATCCGGATATAAAAGAGTTGAATCAACTTACTACCGTACGTTAAAACTCTTCTTTTAGAATAGATGCTACGAAGATTGCAAAGCTTTCGTCCAAAGCTATAAGCTTTATTAAAAACGCAAAGCTAGACGAATAGAAAACCTTTTGTACTCGACTTAGCTTACTTAAATATAGTCAAAAGTCAGCTTAAACGTATTACGAATACTTACTATCGACAAAAAGATGACTTGCTTCGTATTAGCTAAAGAAGATTTATTTAAATAGCTAAAAAGACGACCACTTCGATCGGCCAACGCCGAATCTATTGCTAAGTTTCTTTAAAAAGATATCGTTTGCCGCTACGGACTATTCGAAAGATTAATTATCGATAAAAGACTCGAAAACAAAGCAATTGTTAAGGCCTTCGCTACTAAGTACGAGATTAAAAGGGTTTAGATCTCGAGCTACAATTCAAAAGCAAATAAAATAATCGAAAGAAGATATAAAGACATCTTAGATAGCTTATCGAAAGTTATAAATAAAAGATTTAAAAATTAAGTTCGCAAATTCAATAAAATGCTTTTTGCGGTCCGGACATCGATATACGCATTTACTAGAGTTATCCTTTTCTTTTTAAACTACGGACGAAAAGCTGAGCTACCTTTAGAATTACGATAGCTAGTCTAAAAGTTATTGCTATAATAAAAGGTTCGATCCCGCGCTAACTTGCTTGCTATAAAGTTCAAACAATTAAAACTCCGAGACGAGGATATCGACGAGATTATCTTAAAGAAGAAACGCTATCGACTTGCTGCTAAAGCTACTTAAGAACGAGTCAAGGTCTTAAAGTCGGAACTTATTAAAGAAAAAGACTTAGTACTGCTTTACGACGTTAAACGCAGCATCGACATATCCGCGGATACTAAACTAAATTACAAGTAGCTAAGACTTTATATCGTTTTTAAAGCTTACGATAAAAGATATTACAAACTTTAAAAAACCGATAAGACTAAGCTTAAAAGCACTTTTGCAGCCAACCGCTTTAAACGATTCTACCGCCGCGATCAAACCTTTTTTCCTTTTGATAAAGACGACGAAGAAAAAGAAAAAGAAGATTCGGACTCTTTAAACAACTCGGACTTTAGCGAATACGAGCCTTCCGACGACGGTAAAAGTGAACTACTTAACTTAAAAGTGATCCCGGGACTTAAGTCTATTAACTTTTAAATCATTCTTTTAACACTTTCGAAGGAACAAAAATTAGCTTATAAAACTATTTCTTAGTTTATTTTTTTACTTTGTTTTTCTTACTTTCTTATCTTTTCTTTGTTCTACATTTATTTTATAAAAAAACGTGCTCTTAATGATCACTCTCTTTGTTTTAATAAAGAAAGGTATTTCTTACGTTTGTTCTTTCACTTTTGGACCTGCTTTTCATTATATTCTTTGTTCTTTCTTTGTTCTTTTTATTTTACTAGTTATTCACTTGTCTTATATAAATTGTTTTTATTATTTAATTGTTTTTTCACTTGTTTTAAGCTTATACGGCTATTTTTTATTTCTTATTTAAGACTGTTCTTTTGTTTTAAGCGTGCTTAACTACGTGTATTCGAAGGTGAACTACTATTAAAAAGAGTAAGTCCTCTTTACAAATGTACTTATATAAGAAAGCTCTCTTTTCTTTCTTCTTAACATTTTCTTTCTTTATACAACAACAATTATAACAACACTACTACTACTCCTTCTTTATAACTACATAATATTATATTAATATTAACGATTTTAATTATTACTCAGTCAATCACTACTATTATCAGCTTTATTTTATTATCTTATGTTTGGCTCGTGAATCGTAGTTTACGAATCAAATATGCTTTTTAAGTTAACCGCCGCTAAAGAAAAAGCTTTTGTCCGTAATGCACTTTCTAGCTTATTAATAAGCGAAGAGCAAGCCGCTTTAGCCCGATAATCGAGTTTCGAGCTGAAGTTCGAAAGACGAGTTATTAAGACTTTCGATAAGTTCTTTTAGACTTACCGTTAAATAAGCAACTCTAATTAATTAGCTATTGTAGAAGCACCCAAAAAGATGTGCTGTATAGAAGCCTGGCTCTGAGGCTGGACCTCATGGTCTTACAAAAGAGATGTCAGAAAAGGTGGGTAGAAAGCTCGTTGATTGTTCTAGCTAAGAGATGTGTGCCCTCTTATAGAAGATGGGTCCGTCTAGTGTGGCCCTAGTGGCCATGGCAGGTACCCTATTAGGCAGGGTGTTTACATCCGTCCCTTTATAGAATAAGTAAGCGCCTCCGCCTATTATCAAGCAAAGAAGAAAAAAAAGGGGTGTAGAAGAAAGAAAAAATCTAGTGTACAAAAAAAGAAGGGAGGTATCTTGTCTCCAAACTCCAAACATCCAAACTACTAAACTACGCTTCGGCAGCTTCTTTATAATCTCTTTCCGTGCTTACGTCCTCAACTCCTTCGTTCTCTTTAAGCTGAGAGGGTCTTCTTCTCTTAGCAAGGCTAGCATTGGACGATGACGTGCTAGCAGCAGCATCCTTAAGGGTGAAAGAGCGCGTGTCGTTCTTGCGCTTGTTGGTCGCATCGTTGATAGGTGTGAACTTAGCCGACGAGGGGTCAGCGAGGCCAGAATAAGGTCTAGAGCCACTAGTTAGGTCGTCCTCGTCTTCGGGCAAGTCACTTAAGGCTTCTATAGCCTTATCGAAAGCGCGGTTTAAAGATTCCGGCTGAGAAGATGATGCTTTAGATTCGTCGATTTGGCTCGTGAACCGTAGTTCACGAGTGGAATTCGCACTTTTTAAAGTGATCTTTACACTTAAATCAAAGTCGTTAAAAGATAACTTAATCGGTCGCAAGCTTTCTTTAAAATCCTTTAACTTGTCGGCGTCTACAAGGTCGTCAGCTCGGCGGCTCTTGCCCTTAGAAAAGGACTTAGCTCCGTAAGTCTTGGCTTTAGCGTTTAAGACAATAGCAAATCCTTTTTTGAATGCCGAAAACAACTTCTTCTTATGCTTAATGAAGTGTTCTTAAAACTAAGTCCGGGACATAGTAAAGATAGCGGTCAATTCTTTTACTACTCGAGGCTCGTTCTAATCCATTCTTCCGATCAAGGCTTTTAACACGAAACTAACGTGGTCTAGCTAGATTATGGCGGCGAAGGGCTAGCTTGATTCATTAATGACTCCCTACCGAGGGGTTGGCGGCATGCGTCTTAAGACGATGGTGCAGGCGTGCTTTGCAAAGCTGACTCCATTCTCCAGGGTGCTATCGTTCATCAAAGCGGTGTAGTTGTTGTTGTATAAGGAGAGAAAATGTTGAGAAGAAGGAGGGGGGAGCTTTCTTATATAGGTACATTTGTGGGGAGGACCCACTCTTTCCAACAGCAGTTCACCTTCGAATACACGTAGTTAAGCACGCTTAAAACAGGGGAACAGTCTCAAATAGGAAATAAGAAATAGCCGTGTAGGCCTAAACAGGTGAAAAACAATCAAACAATAAGAACAATCTGTGTAAGACAAGTGAATAGCTAGTAAGGTGAGAAGAACAAGGAAAGAATAGAGAATACAATGAAAGGCAGGTCCAAAGGTGAGAGAACAAACGTAAGAAATACCTTTCCTTACTAATAATAAAGAGAGTGATCATTAAGGGCACGTCCTTTTATAGAATAGGTATAGAACAAAGAGAGGATAGGAAAGTAAGAAAAAACAAAGTAAGGGAAACAGATTAAGAAACAATTTTGTAAGCTAGTTTTTGTTCTTTCGAGAGTGTTGAGGGAATGATTTAGAAGTTGGTGGACTTAAGTCTAAGGGTCACCTTTGGGTTAAGTAGTTCACTTTTGCCGTCGTCGGAAGGCTCGTATTCGCTAAGGTCCGAGTCGTTTAAAGAGCCCGAATTTTCTTCTTCTTCTTCTTCGTCGTCTTTATCAAAGGGAAAGAGGGTTTGGTTGCGGCGGTAGAATCGCTTGAGGCGGTTGGTTGCAAAAGTGCTTTTGAGCTTAGTCCCATCGGTTTTTTAAAGCTTGTAGTATCTTTTGTCGTAAGCTTTAAAGACGATATAAGGTCTTAGCTATTTGTAGTCCAGCTTGGTGTCCGCGGATATGTCGATGCTGCGTTTAATATTGTAAAGCAGTACTAGGTCTTTTTCTTTGATAAGTTCCGACTTCAAGACTTTGACTCGTTCTTAAGTAGCTTTAGCGGTAAATCGATAGCGTTTCTTCTTTAAGATGATCTCGTCGATATCTTTATCTCGAAGTTTTAATTGTCTGAACTTTATAGCAAGCAAGTCAGCGCGGGATCGAACCTCTTGCTAAGGTAGTAATCTTTAGATTGGTTATCGTGACTTTAAGGGTAGCTCAGCTTCTCGTTCGTAGTTCAAGAAGAAAGGGGTGACTTTAATAAGTGCGTGTATCGATGTCCGGATCGCAAAGAGCATCTTATTGAATTTGCGAACCTAATCTTTGAATCTTTCGTTTATAACTTTCGATAAGCTATTTAAGATGTCTTTATAGCCTCTCTTAATCATTCTATTAGCTTTTGAATTGTAGCTTGAGATTTGGACCTTTTTGATCTCGTACTTAGTAGCGAAGGCTTTAGCAACTGCTTTGTTTTTAAGTCTTTTATCGATAGTCAGTCTTTCGAATAGTTTATAGCGGCAAACGATATTCTTTTAAAGGAACTTAATAATGGATTCGGCGTTAGCCGATCGAAGTGGCCGCTTTTCCGGTTATTTAGATAGATCTTCTTTAGCTAGTACGAAGCAAGTTATTCTTTTGTCGGTGGTAAGAACTCGTAATACGTTTAGGCTGACTTTTGACTATATTTAAGTAAGCTAGGTCGAGTATAAAGGGTTTTCTGTTCGTCTAGCTTTGCGCTTTTGATAAGGCTCATAGCTTTAAACGAAGGCCTTGCAGTCTTCGTAGCATCTATTCTAGAAGAAGAGTTTTGACGTGCGGTAGTAGGTTGACTCAGCTCTTTTATGTCCGGATTTTCGATAAGCGTCGGAAATAGCAGTGTAGCGTTTTTAAGTTCCGTCGATAACTAGCTTGATCGAGTAAGAATTGTTTGCTCGCTTGTAAAAGTAATTATCTTTGACTAAGTAGTTGAGTGCTTTGTTCTTGAATTTTTAGAAGTCGTAAGTCTTGATCGAAAGAAAGCGTTTAAAAGTAGTGAAGAATTAAGCAATGAGCTCGGAGTCGAGCGAGTAGTCGTGCTTTAAAACTCTTTTTTTGGCTTGTGAACTATAGTTCACGAGTCGTTTAATCGAGAATATTAAAACAGTGCTTAGCTCGTTAATGACTTAATCGTTAATATCTTCTTCCTCTTTCTCTTTAATGTCTGAAAGATGCTCCTTTCCTTTCTTAAAAAGACCGTTCGCCGCCGTGTTTTTAGTCTTAAAGATGTGCTTGACTTTAAAGTCTATCAATCTTATCTACGCAATTTAGTTCGTAACGAAGGCTTTAAGCAAGTCGCTTGTTAATCCGTTAAGTTAATCAACTAGTACTTTAGCGTCGGTTTCTAAGATAAAGTGAACCTCGTATAATTCGCTCTTTATCTTTTTCATAGCTTTTAAAGCACCGCGGTATTCTCGCTTGGTCGCGTCGTACTTGCTCTCCGCAGAGTTTTAAAGACTACTTTCGAACTTGGCAAGATGTCGCTTTTTGTCGGAATCCTTTTGCTGTAATACTGCTCTTTATCTCTTAAGACTAGCGTTTACCGTTAAGTAAATTTTTCTTCCGTCTTTGTTATAGTCGATCTTGATAAAAGCGAGGGCAAAGAGCAAGGCTTCTTTGAGCAGCCTTATCGCTTTTTGCTAAGGCTTTAACCACTCGAATTCGACTTTCTTTCTTATCGTCGCGTAGATTAAGGCAGTAATCGTAAAGAAGTTTTTGATTTAGATTTTATAGTAAACTACGATGCTAATAAAAGCTCGGGCTTCCGATACGTCTTTGCACTTAGTCTATTTTAATATCTTTTTAATTTTAGCGGTCTGGAGGTAGCGTCTTTCGCTATCTGTGACGAATCTAACGATATTAAGGCTAGGCATACAGTATTAAGATTTCGTTCCGACGGTCGTCTTAGCTCTTTTAAACTTTACGAGCACCTTGTCGATATTTTGGATATGCTTTAAGACGAATCGTCGAATTCCGAGCAAAACTTCTTCGTAATTGTAAAAGGATCGCGATCCTTTAACTTTTACGTCATTTATGTAAAGCAAGCAAACGTTAAGAATGCAATCTATAAGGATCTTATAGATGACTTTGACGAATTGAGCGATCGAATTAATAGCTCTTATAAGTATCCGGGTCATCCGAAGCAGTCCGATGAGCGTTTAAATAGTTGTTATATCTTTAGACTTAACGTCGAAAAGGAATTGATCGTATTTAAAAAAGAAATCTAAGAGTGTAGCTATTGTAAAACCGGCAAATTCGTTCGAGAACTAGTTTACGTTCGGAGCAATATTAGCGTCCTTGACCGTTACACGGTTTATCTTAATTATAGTAGTGATCAGCTTGTATTTTCCTTTTTCTTTTTTCGCTATAATGAACCACTTGTTCCGGTAAAGGCCTTAGTATAGTTCGAGGACCTTTTGCTTTAATCGTTCTTTTAGCATAAAGATAACCATCTTTTGCAGAGCTTTCGGTACTGTAAACGTCTTCTTTTGCTAGGCTTCGTAAAGCACCGTTTTGATCTTTTAAAGCGGCATGACTTCTTTCCGGACTTGGCCAAGATAAGTAAAATCTTAGGCTATCGCTTCCTCTCGATTTAAAAAGCATTAGTAAAGCAGCTCTTTCTCTTTTGAAGTGATTTAAGAGCTAATCGTGAGTGCTTCGAATCGTTCTTTCGTTAATCTTGATCCAACTTTTAAGTTTGAAAACCTGCTAGTAAAGTATTCCGAAAAGGGTCTTCTAAGCTTAAAGGGTCTCGCTTTCTTATTTTGCTCGAATTAATCGTCGATCCTTTCAGGTATCTCTTTATTCGATACTCTTAAATCTATCGGTCTGACCTTTTCCGCTTTTTTTTTATATATCGTATTAACTTTTACTATATTCTTTTTTAAAAGGTCCTTGTCGTTATCGATAATAAATATGAAATTTTCTGATTTATCGAGTTTGATTGCAAATATTTTTAATGTTTTTGATTTTGGTAAGCCTTGCTTAGTGTTAAGTTGAATTATTTTTTTATGATTTTGTTGTTTTTATGCCGATCTATTCGTAAACTATAGTTCACGGGCAGAATTTCCTTTTAAGCTTCTTTTTAACTTAGCATTCATCTTAGCTTGCATGCTAACGACTAGTTTCCCGGGTCTTCGACCAAATCCGACTTGTCTTTTGCAATAGTAATTTGGCCTTAGGTGGATCGATCGTGGTTTTAAAAAGAGGCTTTTATCGTGCTATTATCGAGGTAAGAAAAAGAGAGTTGGGATTCTAAAAAGAAAAGCATGCTTAAGATGACCTCGTGACTATTATTATTGATAATAAAAAAATCGGCGTAGTTAGTAATTCCGCCGATAGTGACTTCGACGTCGTTTATCTACTTATCGAAGTTGTAAAGATCTTCGGATACGGTGGTGTAGACTAAGGCTCGATCCGTTATGATAAGTAGTTTAGCTATCTTAGCCACTTCTTTGTTTATCACGTTGACTTTAGATCTATTGTCGAGGAAGGATCTGCTTTTAATTATACCGTCGATATTAATAAAAACCTTTAAGGTCTTTATCGCCACTTCGGAGCAGTTACGAGCGATAGGTTGTTTGCGGATTTGCGTCGCTAAGAGGTTTAGCTTGCCTTTTTTATTTCGACTTAAACGTTTAATAGTTGAGGCGTTTACAAAAATAAGCTTACCTTAAAGGACTTTTACGTTTTCTTTAGCATCGGGGACCATTGGAATATAGTAGCTTAATAGCTTGTCGAAGCGAGAGCTGAGTCCGAACAAGTCTTTAATTTAAACTTCGATTCTCGATTTCATAATCGCCGCTATTGCTTTTTCTTGAGCTTTAGTAGTAACGTAAGGGTTAATGAACTTCTCTCGTCTATAAGTCCTTTTCTTTTTTCTTTTTAGTATTCGCTAAGTGATCTTAACTTTTCTTTCTATATCTTTTATAGCTTCGTCGGCTTTAGTTGGTCTAAAAGGTCTAAAAGACTCTTTCTTAATTAAACTATCGAATAGCCTATCTTCCGAGTCTATCTTTATAGCAGTACTCGATTCTTGAGAAGCACGAGCTTTAAAGGTGCCGTAGTTTTTTTCTTTTTATTATCGGATATTCTTTTTGATCTTAGTAGGCTTGGATCTTTTCGAAGGCTAGAAAGGCTTTTTAGCTTTGTCTTTTGCGGCGGCGTTGATCTCGACCGAAGCAACTTCTATGCTAGATAAGTGGCTAAGCGTGTTAATCCATCTTATAGCATTGATATTTTTAATATCGACTAGTCTTTTAAGAATAATGGTAAGCTCTTTTAGCTAGTTGGTTGGTTGCTGAACATTTTGATCGGGCTGATACTAGGCTGGCTGTTAGATTGGTTGTTGATAAAAGAGTAAGTGTTTATAAGTCTTAAGTCCGCTAGTAAGCCGATTCTTTAAGATGTTGTCGTATTCCGTCTTACGAACGTCTAGCACGATAGATCTGAATTAAGTCTTTCTTTGCTTTTTCTAGATAATAAAAGCACCGATCCTTTTAAGTCTTAAGCAAAAGCGTCCGTAATCATTAATATAAATACATCTTTTATTAACTATGTCTTTGAAGGCCTTATACTTATCCCGGTATTAATAAGAAGCTTAAGTTGTGTCTTCGGAGTTCTCGCAAAAGCTATAATCTTGCATTTAGCTCTCGTATCTTCTACTTTTTCTTTTTCTTCGTCCTTGTAATCCGTAGTCGATAGCAGCAATCTGAACTCCTCTTTCGAAGCTGACTTTATTTCGAGCATCTTAAGCGGTATATTTAGTAAAGGCTTCGTCGCGGTCTTCGAATCGAACTTAAAATTAAGATTGAATAAAGCGTCGGGAAGTTGAGTTAGCGACTTAGTCTTCGAAGTAATCAATTCGATTATAGATCGCACTAATCTACAAGTTAGAAAACTTCTTAATCATGAAACTTATTTTATCAATTTCTTTTTTTTCACTCGTAAACCGTAGTTCACGAGTAAACGGCATTACTACTAAGGCTTTCTTAACAGACTTAAGAACGCTAGCTAGCTCCGTGTGTTCTTTAACTAAAGTCCGAATATCTTTAGTAAAGTTAGCTAAAAAAGACTTTTTTCGATTTATAACTTCGATAGTCTTAGCGCTTTGGTCGGTCTTAAAAGCGAATGCAGCGAAGTCATCGAAGGCGGTATAAAAGTCTAAGTCGAGTTCGTCGACTTTATAATACTTGATCGTTTTGTTTCGGATTCCGACGAGCAATCCGAAGAAGAATAAGCGGCTTTGTTCGGTCTTGCTTAAAAGGTGTATTAAAGTAAGCCTTTCGGAGACCCGGAAAAAGGTGCGACAATAGTTTTTCAAGTTATTGACATCCCGTTTTTATATAACAAATTCCCGCAAGAAGGCGACCGAGTCTTTGATCTGCTAAGTATCGTTTTTACGAAACTCGGCTCTTAAGGCCTTGACGAAGGCAGCTTAATCTTTCTTAACTTTCTATTCGAGCAAGCTCTTGATAACTTCTTTGCGAGGGTTATCGTAGTAACGAAGGAGTTTAATAAACCGATCATCTTTAAAGATATTAAAGTTATCATAAGTTTCTTCGTACTTCTCGATGAAGTCGGTGATGTTAGTATTACTAAAGCAAAGAGCTCTTAAAGCGCTTAGTAATAGCATGCGAGTAATTATAAAAGCGTGAAGGATAGCAAAGTCGACTATAACTAGCGCAAAGCTTAATGAAGGAGCAAGAGGAGCAAAAGGAAGAGGAATGGTATAGATCTTAAGACCGGTGTTTATTTTAAGAGGCATTTCCGAAGCAAGTGTTTCCGATAGAAGTAGCGGTAAAAGTTCAAGTTGAAGGTCGAAGTAAAATAAGGATAGTCCGAAGCTTATAAGAATACGACTAAAAGATTTAATAAATTCAAAGGATTTTGACGAAAAGAGAAGTGATTCTGCGCCGACTTCGATGTTAGAAATCTTAAGAAGGTTTTCGGTATTCTAAAGATTAGATATGTATGTGTGTTAAGAATGATCGGGTTGATAAAAGGTTTTTGAATTGTTTGATTTTGATTCGTGAACTAGGTTTACGAGTAAAATAAGCGATTTTCGCAAGGTATTTTCGATCCGAGATTAAAAAGAGTAAACCCTTTGCAAAGGTAAACTAATAAACAAAATCAAAACTATAAAAAACTTAAGAATCAATTGATTAGCTTCGCTAACAACTTCGGACCATATCAATTGCTTTAATTCAAGATAAGAGCTAAGGTATAGAAAGATATTTTTACTAATAAATGAAAATTCTTTCTTATTGACAATAGAAGAGAGTTTTTGCCGAAGAGCCGAAATATTATACTTCGGCCATTTCGGCGTTTCGGTGTTCGAATCCATCGAGAATAGGGTTTTGATTGTTTTGAAGTCGTAGTTATAAAGTGAAGTGCTGAATAAACGAAGATCAACTTGACTGCGAATCAAGCGATTGTAATAAGCTGTATAAAGACAGAGACTAAAGGTTTGAATCTTTGCGTAAGTTATTAATGTAAAAGCACTTAAAAAGATGTGCTATATAAAAGCCTGGCTCTAAGGCTGGACTTTATGGTCTTACAAAAGAGATGTTAGAAAAAGTAGGTAGAAAGCTCGTTGATTGTTCTAGCTAAGAGATGTGTGCCCTCTTATAGAAGATGGGTCCGTCTAGTGTGGTTTTAGTGGCCATGGCAGGTACCCCATCAGGCAGGGTGTTTACATTATGCTTAAAGTAGCAACTTCCGACCTTAATAATAAATTAAATAAAAAAGACGACTTGATTTTATAGTACGACCAATTCTTACGAGCCGAATGCGCAAGAAAGAATATAGACGTCGAAGACCTCTTTTCGGCTTACGACTAGTTTATTATCAGAGTCACCGCTATCTACTTTTTACGCAACAAGAACGCTAAAAGACACAAACGAATCAAAAGAGCTTTCGACGGCGCTCGAGAGCAATTGCTGTATAACGATTACTTTAAAGCTATATACATTTCAATCCGTAGCGCTCGCTAACTAAGCGTCATTTTAGAAAACTGCATCTTTAACGCTTACGCTATTTAAATCATCAATTATTATATTGTTGCTTACATAGCTTTTTAAAAGATTATAGCTAATATAGCTCGAGGACGCAAGTTTATTAAGCTCAATGCTACGGTAATCAACTTCACTTGCTAGACCGTAAAAGATAAGAACAATACTAAGTAAAAAGATAAGATCGTTATTCTTAACGAAAGACTCTTAAAGAAGTTAAAACTAAAAGTCTTATTATATAGCTTATTGATTTTAGCTCTCGATAATATTAAAAGCGAATACGACGAGCTTAAAGAACATATAAAGTTTGCCGACGAAAATCAGACTTAGAATTTCGTTTTATAAAAAAAACCCGAATCCGAAATTCTATTCGTAAACTATAATTTACGAGTAAAAAATGACTTAGCAATCGAAGCGAGATTAAGTCAACTTTTTGCGCTTAAAACCCTTTTGCTTAGATCACTTATTGCGCGCTTTTCGCTATTACTAGCTTTGTTTTAAAGATCGACGTTATCTTTTGCTAATAAGCCTTCGAACGCTAAACTAATTGCTTCGATTATGTCCACTTTACGCAAGTCTATCGACGCGAGCTCTTTTTTAACTTTTAGACTTAAAATGCAACGCGACCTTTCCGAGAACTAGCTGCTATTAACACTACTCGTTAAAAAAAGAGATAGCTTCGAATACGAACTAGCTAAAGTTATATCGAACCGCTGCTTCGGACTTATCGAGATTAAAGACTTTATAAATATAAACGTAGCTTTTATCAACTTTTGCTAAGACTTCTATTAATCAGCTCTCGACCGCTTGAACTTAAACGAGAACATCGATAATACTTTTTAAGTTGCCGCGGAATTAATTAAAAAGGCTATCAGCTAGATCCGCAAGCTTTTAAAAGACGAATTTTCTAATAACGCGATCTTACGACTCTTCGACCGTCGTAGCTAAGTAGAAGTAAGTAAGGAAAAAAGCAAAGTAATAAACTACTTTTTGCTGTCCGAGATTTTTAATTTAAGCTTTAACGACGACGATTGCGATTGTATAAAAGTCTTTTAAAAAGTAAAAAACGTATTAAAATTTAAAGATAGATTTAAAGAACTCTTTGACTTAAACGTCTAAACAAAGCTCCGTTTTAGCCGCAAAGTTTTACCGTCCGCTATCGACTTATTAAAAGAAGTCTTTTGCGAAGTTTATACTTTCGAATACGTTAAATATCTTAAGCTAGCTACGAAAGGCTTTATAATAGTAGTGATCCGTTCCAACTTATGTCGATTTATCGAAGCCTTTTAAATTAACGCCTTTAACAACTTTATGTTTTACTCGAGCAACTAATCGATGTTCGCTATTAAGATTAAAAGCAATACTTTAATTAAAAAAATATCTAGCTTAAGCTCTTTTAAGTTCAAAGCTAAGCCGATGTCTTTTAATAAGCTGAACTAAAGCATTAGCTTGATAAGCACCGCTTAAAAGAACAGCTTTTTCAATATTATAAATGCGAATAGTTATACGAAAGTTTAGCTTATGTTAAAAGCTTCTTTTTTAAACGATAAGCACGGCAACTAAACCTTCTTTATTATTATAAATAAAGAGATCTAGATGTACTTTCATTACTTTCGGACTAGTAACTTAAAAGAAGCCTCGATTAGTGCACTTTTTAATATAATACACTCTTTGACTTAGCAAGTCTTCCGAAGCTATTATAAGCTATACTTTGCTGCTTTGCTTAATCGCCGAGACAAGAACTATAAGCTTATCGCTTACCCGAAACCTTTTTAGCTCTTTAAATGCAATAATAATGCTCGAGTGATTGCGACCAAACACGACGCTGATATTAAACGACTCGTAAACCGTAGTTCACGAGTAAAAGATAAAGTTTTAAACTATTACTTAATGCTTTATAGCGTAAAGAATTAGATCGGAAGCTTAGCTATTTAGCTTAAAAGCTATACTTACGACATTACTTTTAAAAAGACCGTTAGATAAAAAGCTTTTAGATTTAAGTCGAAGACTTTAAATGCTTTCAAGAACATTGCGCTTCGTTAACCTTTCGTTATAATTAATAATTTCGCTACTCTTATATCCGTTATTACGAAATAAAGTGTTTTTTTAAACATAAACGCTTTTTAAGATTCTTTTTGCGGATAAGCTATCTTCTTTAACAATTATACCGCTTTATTAAACGATAGCACTTTAAAAAATAAAGTCAGCTTTACAAAGCACGCTTGCATTATCGTTTTAAAACGTATACCGTTAACTTTTCGGTAAAGAGTTATTAATAAATCAAGCTAGTTTTTCGCCGCTACAATCTAGCTAGACTACGTTAGTTTCGTATCAAAAGCTTTGATCGAAAGAATAAACTAGAACGAACCTTAAGTAATAAAAGAATTAACCGCTATCTTTGCTATATTTCGAACTTAGTTTTAAAAACACTTTATCAAGCATAAGAAAAAGTTGTTTTCGGCATTTAAAAAAAGATTTGCTATCGTCTTAAATGCTAAAGCTAAGACTTACGGAGCTAAGTCTTTTTTTAAAGGTAAGAGCCGCCGAGCTGACGACTTTATAAACGCCGATAAGTTAAAGGATTTTAAAGAGAGCTTGCGACCGATTAAGTTGTTTTTTAACGACTTCGATTTAAGTATAAAGATCACTTTAAAAAGTGCGAAATCTACTCGTGAATTATAGTTTACGAGCTAAATCAGCAACTTTAAAAGATCTTCTTCTTAGCCGGAATCTTTAAACCGCGCATTCGATAAAGCTATAAAAGCTTTAAATAACTTGCTCGAAAACGAAGACGATTTAACTAATAGCTCCGGACTTTATTCTAGCTTCGCTAACCTTTCGTCGGCCAAATTCACACTTATCAACGATGCTATTAATAAGCGCAAAAACGATACGCGCTCTTTTACTTTTAAGGATGCTGCTATTAGCACGTTATCGTCTAATACTAGCCTTGCTAAGAAGAAAAGACCTTTTCAGCTTAAGAAGAACGAAGGAGTTAAGGACGTAAGCACGAAAAGAGACTATAAGAAAGCTGCTAAAGCGTAGTTTAAATGTTTAGATGTTTAGAGTTTAAAGACAAGATACCTTCTCTTTTTTGTACACTAGATTTTTCTTTCTTTTACACCCTTTTTTTTTTCTTTTTTGCTTGATAGTAAGCGAAGGCGCTTATCTATTTTATAAAAGGACGGATGTAAACACCTTGCTTAATAAGGTACTTGCTATGGCTACTAATGCTATATTAAACGGACCTATCTTCTATAAGAGGGCATACATCTCTTAACTAAAACAATTAACGAGCTTTCCACCTACCTTTTCTGACACTTCTTTTATGAGACCATAAGGTCCAGCCTCAGAGCCAGGCTTCTGTACAGTACATCTTTTTGAGTGCTTCTACAATATATTCTTCGAAAAAAGCTATAATAAGGCTTTACTTTTCCGACGCTATTATAAGCTTCTACTAAGATTACTTTGATCTTAGTATTTATCGATTTTGCTTATTATTTGAACTCTTAAGAGCTTAAGTTGGTTTTAGCGTTCATTACGATTACATTTAAAAAGCTTAAGTATATATCGATTTAATAATAACGTATTATATCTTACACGTGTTTTGCAATTATATTCTTAAAGAATCTTTTAGAACCGTAACTTATAGCTAAGTCTACGATATATAGCACGAAGTCTTCGTTAATATATATAATATTAATAATAATCGAATAATTGAATTCATACTTATCTTTTAAAGAGATTTTAAATTTGCAAAAGGCTTGCTTATATAATTAACATTGCGCATAGTATTTAATAATCTTTTCGAGGATATCGGTTTTAAACTCTTTACTTGCAGCTTTAAAAGTGATAGCAAAACGCTGTATTAAAGAATATCTTTAACGGCGATAAATTTAACGCAATTCTCTTTCGATAAAGTAGTATATAATAGTTTCTTGCTGACTAAGCAATAAGAATAAGTAGCTTTATTTTCTAACAACTAGCACGCTGTTATAGCTTTGCATAAGTAAATTTCTTAAATTATTAAAATATACGTTAAAAGAATCTATATCTTTTAAATAGATTAAAAAAAAAGTGTTAGTATTAATTATATAAAAAACAATCTTGCTAATTAGTATTTGTACTTTTACGGTTCTTTTAATAATAGCCGAGGTTTCGCTAAAGCTGATAGTACCTTTTTAAGTAGTAATCACTTGTAATTTAAGCACATAATACTAAAGAGCTTTCACTTGTGCTTCTCTTACAAAAGACTTACTTGCAGCTCTCGAATCGAAAAAGAATTTTTAAAATCGGTAAGCTAAATA